AATCCAGAGGACAAATGCCCACAGCTGAAGGAGGCCAGAGAGCAGGTAACTAACTCCACTAAGTTCACTACGAGCCCCACTGAGCAGATTTAATTTTCCTAATTTCCTATAAGGCTCCTTTGACAGCCACTACAGAAAACCCTAAAATAGATGAGATAGACCTTCCTTCTTCAGGTACTAGGAGCTAACCTTTGACTTCCAATTAGCTTGGAGGAGGGCGGCAGCTCTGAGACCAGGGATAAGAGTGGAATTTGCAAGAGGCTGCAAGGAGAGGGAGCATTTCACACCGTTACAAGCACTGCATTCTTGTTCAATGTAAGCAATAAAATATGAAAGGGACTCAAGAAAAAATCTTTTCTAAATTGTAATTACAGTTACCTGAAACCGTTGACTGAAAAAGTCCATGTACGGTACAGCTGTTTAGCCCGGGGCTTCCCACTGCATTGGCGGTGCCCCCTGGGACTGACCGAGCTGGGTGCTGGTGGGCCGGTACCGCCACCATGGAGGGTAGGTCTGGGGTCCCCCACAGTTCAGGGGTCTCTTGGCCCACTGGCAGCTCTCCCCCCAGCTGTGGGAGAGGCAGGTAGGCTCCAGTGCCCCATGCACCGTCTCCCTACCACCTTCCCACCATCTGGCAACAGGCTGGCTTGCCCCTGCGGCAGTGTGGCAAGGTGGCAGGAGGGTGGCTTGGTGTGCTGGTGGTGGGAAAAGGTGGCGGGGACGGTGCACGGACCACTAGAAGCCCGCCAAGCCTGAGCGGACCTCTGCTGCGACTCGATGTCTCTGCAGCATCCCGCACCTGCCACGCGGTCCTCCCAGACCTGCCTGGGCTTTCCCCACTCCCGAGTCCTTAATCTTGAAAACTGGCCCCTTCACCCTTACATAAGGATGAAAGGGAAAATAAGTAAGTTTTATATACATACAGACACACACTGTACATTGTAGCGCACACACTGTGCAGCACACACACGGACTGTACCGGACGCACAGACACAAACACTGTACAGCGTGTGTGCGTGTTGTACAGCGCACACGTGCACTGTGCTTGGCACGTCTGTGGTGATTATGCCACACTGGTGAGTCACTGTGCGCAGACACACTGTAGCACGTGTGCATACACACACACTGTGCCACAGACACACACGCACAATGAACATTGTACCACAAGCACACATTGTACTGCACACACACACACACACATATGCACACTGTACCACACACACCCTGTAGTAGTGCGTGAGCGTGCGCACACACACACACACTGCACTGCACCGCACCTAACGA